GCCTCCCAGAGTGCTAGGATTACAGGTGTGAGCCACCACGCCTGGCCTTTTTTTTTTTTTTTAATCATTTTTTAATCTGCTCAGCGTTGCCTGCCTACAAACACACACACACACACACACAAACACACACGTATTTAATTTTTTATTATGGAAACTTTTTAACACATACAAAAGTAAAGTGATGAGCCCCATGTATCTGTTATTCAGCATCAACAATAGTCAATGTATTGTTTTAACTGCTTCCCTCCCGTTTTCCTCACCCCAGATTATTTTGAAGCAAATCTCAAACATGATTTTAATCTGTCAACTCTTCAGCATCTATTCTAGAAGAACTCTTTAAATTTTAAATAACAGAAGCACAGTACCATTACCATATCTAAAATTAAAAATAATTAACAATATTTCCCACCATCTAGTCAGCATTCAGACTTTCCTGATTGTTTTATAAATGGTTTTTAAACTTGATTTGTTTGAATCAGAATCAAAACAAGTCTATACAGTATAATTGATATGTCTCTTGAATTACTTTTAATAAATAGCTTCCCCTTTTCCTTTTTTTCTTGTGTTTGTGGAAGAAAGGACCATTTTTCTACTTTCTGGATTTTACTGGTTATATCTCCATGGTATCATTTCACATATCCAAGAATATTTTTTATTTTTGTTTAAATATATGATACCTCATCTCCTTTGACTTAACACATTTTTGTTTAGGTGGAGTAATTAATGCTTCACTTAGTTGTCGAAGAATGAAGAAGTTCAAAGATGATGTAAACATGAAAGGGAGGATCTGAAGGAAAGGGCACAAACATCAGGAAGTAGAATAATTTTGTAATGCTTCATTTTTACAGCTCTATGATTATTTTGATAACATAATTTGTTGCCATCTTAAAATATTATAGAACACTGGAATATGGAATTGTAGCAAGAGTAGGTATAGTAGGTTGATTTTGGTTAAAGGAACATTGTTAACTTTTTTTATTTATTTGCAAAAAAGATACCAGGTCATCAGCACTCCAACAGATTTTTTTATGGTAATGGAATATGTGTCTGGAGGTGAATTATTTGACTACATCTGCAAACATGGACGGGTGAGTTAACATATTATCTAAACCTCTAAGCTAAAATTCTAAGCTAAAAAAGAGGAAAGTACTGGGAAATAACAAACTGCTAAGATATCTTCAAAGCCGGAGTTGCTTTTGTAGTAATGCACAAGTAGACATACAGAATATTAGACAAATTTTTTTCTTAAAAGTATAGCTTTTGAAATACCGACTTTAGAAAATATGTTTCACTTAATTGCCAATGTGATGCCTGTGCTTTTCAGAATCTGTTCTGTAAAAGCATGTTGAGATTTAATTATTTTCTTTTCTTTGTACTTTCACATACATTCTATTTTAGTTTGTTTTACTGTCAATTCCCCAAAACACTGTGCACATTTAATAATGTTAATTGAAAATTAAATGCTACTGCCTAGCAACAAAGAAAAACCTGCCAATTGATGTGTTGAGCTTTGACAAGTTTTGGTTTTTTTGTTTTGTCTGGTTTGTTGAGAATATGAACACAATTCTAGCTTGCTTAGTTATATGTAGGCTGATTATGAAACAAAAATTCATGCTAAATATATATCCCAGATATTCTTAATGCGGTTTCTTTTCTACTTGATAGGTTGAAGAGATAGAAGCCAGGCGGCTCTTTCAGCAGATTCTGTCTGCTGTCGATTACTGTCATAGGCATATGGTTGTTCATCGAGACCTGAAACCAGAGAATGTGCTATTGGATGCACACATGAATGCGAAGATAGCCGATTTCGGTATGTAACTCCAGGGTTGTTCTGAAATGTACTAGCTGCCTTTTAAAGCGTGTCAGCAAAAACTCATAGAACTAAGAACTTTCCATTTCAACCTTGTACATCCTATACCATGAAAAGAGATTAGTTGCTTCTTCTATTCATTTAAATACACTTAAAAAAATGGAGATACCTTTGGAAAAGTTATCAAGATAAATCCATTCAATCTGCATTTGCTCCCAAGGAAATGATATTCAGCTGTTTTTTGGAGGGGGAGAGGAGTCCCAAACTCCTTGGAAAATCTCATGAAAGTAGGCAAACTTTCCGTGCTGAATGCACATAAACAGAGGTACATGAAAATTTGCATGCAGTTTTGGAAAAAGCTTTATAGCTCTTCTGAATTGATTCATGAAGAGGTCGGTGGATCTTAGGGTTACATCTAACAACTTGATTAGAGAATAGGAGTTTTTGTAAGGTGTAAAAGAAAAGGTAAAATGTGATTTTTAAGCTTCACACACTTTCTGGGGTAAACATACCTGGAAAGGATACCATAGTAGAGTGTTTGAGATAAAGATTAGAAAGTGAAAGATTATAAAGAAAAGGAGACAGAAAGGTGCCAAAGTTTAGTGTTTTTTGTCTATACTTTGTTTTTAATCTAAAAACCAGGAAACTACTTTCTCTATTTCTCTTCCTTCTCTAAATCATGCAATTCAATTTAGTGCTATAGTTCAAGCAGATTTTTTGTTAAATTATTTTTTCTTATGTTGAATTAAAGCTTTCTAAATTAAACACTTGGAACATAATCTGTTTATGAATTGGGGCCTGTCTGGTTTCTAGTTATAGAATTTTAAAAAAGGCTTTTGAAAGCTTAGTATAAAAAAGTAGTAGTCTCTGTTGTTTCAACTGTAGAGGTAAATAAATCATAGATTGATGGTTTTGTGTTCTGAAAAGTCAATATAATTTAGAATATCCTTATTTGTGAAGTGAATCAACATTTTTATTCAGAAAGGAAATTTAATTCTAAGCATACATGTGATATGCTTTAGCATTTTTTGTCATAGTGTAAGCACTCTGAAATGGTCTCTTTCTCGTCTAACAAATGCTTTCTACTGCTTTTTTTTAATAATTAAAAAAGTAAGATGTATGGAACATTAAAGACTTGAAATTTTACTCATTTTTAATCTATATCTACTTTAAAAATATCTAGCACCAAGTAAACATTACTTTTGTTTTCAGGACTATCTAATATGATGTCAGATGGTGAATTTCTGAGAACTAGTTGTGGATCTCCAAATTATGCAGCACCTGAGGTCATCTCAGGCAGGTAATAATATATCAGTGAAGAGTGAGCTTTTTGTCATCTTGCATTCATTCTGATAACATTTAATTATAATGTATTCTCTTTAGAAGGCAAGATTTTTAGCATGTTAGAAACAGATTGTT